GCGGATACCTTAGAGTGGAAAGAACAGACGTCGATCACGAAACAGGTCAGAACCATTAATGGTTTTATTGAGTTCTAGTTCAGAAACAGCACAAAGACACCGGGTGCAGATCAGGACCACAGAAACGTGTAACAAAGTACAAGGCGCAGAATATTGGCGTTTTTGTGCGACCAACATTAATTCTTCCGAATCAATCCATGCTCTGCTTTCATTTTCTTCTACGTAGCCTACTTCCTCTAATCTACGGTTGATGTTGCTGTAGTTTGACACCCTCTTCCTTGGAACGGATATCCATTCTTCAATTGGACACGATATTATGCATGTTCAGATTGAGTGTTTTTTTCGCGAAAACAAAACCAACTTCCATAAAACTTCTTAAAAGTTATGATCTGAAGTTTATTGTTGAGAACCATTCTTAGCTTCTTCAATTTTGCCTCTGATCAGGTTGTCTTTAAAATCTCAGAACTGGTTTGGGTGGTTGAAGCCCAATCTGATACCGTGTTGTAATTTCACAGATAACGACAAATGTAACAGATAACGAACACGATTTTAGAATTGTCCAGGTAGTGTATTGAGCAGGTTTGTCCAGACATGCTCTGACATCGTAGTACCATACCCAAGCGAGACTCGATAAGTGAGTAAGCGCAGATAGAGTTTTCAAACGTGTAGTCGCCGTAGCTTGACTGCCCTACTGCAGAAGTCTGTCGTCGACACAGTTTATGTTACCCCAGAGAATGTACAAGCTTTTCTCAGACATGATGCGTCAGCAGGTGTAAGATTAATCTCGCCAGGTAGAGAATGTAAAATCATTGGAATTGGCGGTCTCAAATTGAATTTCAAGTTGAAATGGCAGTTTGTAATTTTAAAGCCACAAAGTAACCTCAAATATAAACATAGAATGTTCAAATGTAAACATATAAACTTCTAATGTAACAAAATCACAACTCAAATCCCACATAACAACCTCAAATGTAACACGACGTGAAAGGGTAGGGGATGAGCAGTAAAAATGGAGAAAGGCTGACGGTTAATGGTAAACAAAAGTAAATAATTACTCTGCAAAATATACATGATGCAAATATGTATTGTCTTCCCTTACAAAACACCCAGTTCTCTATTCCATTATAGGGTGCCTCCATCTTCGCATGGGTTAAGCGTTCAAGCTCCAAGAAACCCGCAACTTTCGTGTGATTTATAAAGACTTTCTTTGTCTCCTTGACTAACCTTTGAATACTAGCTGGCACTGTAGCAATTATTATGTTTAATGTCTGCTGGATCTCTAGACCTACTCTTTCGTTTGTCTTTCAGAGTAAGCTAAAAAAAATAATATGGTGTCCTTACGACAAAAAACAAGATGCTACGTCTAAGGATGACACGTACGTGCCAATAAGACATTTGACAGCTAGAGTTGGATTTTCATAGAAGTTGCTGTTTATTCTCTGAAGTGAATCATTGTAAAAGCTTTTGTAAATAGCATGGGAAAAGGGTTAATGTGGAGTGACGCAGAACAGGGAAGAGAACTATACAGAAGGAAGAACGTGAAGAGAGAACGACGCATTAGGACAGCGATGACAGATATTTCTCGAGGAGAGAGAAAGAAAAAAGAGAGGGGGAGAGAACGAGGAGGAGGCACACACACAGAGAGAGAGAGAGAGAGAGAGAGAGAGAGAGAGAGAGAGAGAGAGAGAGAGAGAGAGAGAGAGAGAGGGGGGGAGAGAGAGAGGGGAGAGAGAGAGAGAGAAAGAGAGATAGAGATAGAGAGAGATTATGAAAGATACACAGAAAAAGACGAAGAGAGAACGAGGACGTGGGCGGGGGGGGGGGGGGGGGTGGTGACAGACAGAAACTGACAGACAGACAGACAAGGAGACAGATAGCCAGACAGTCAGACAGACACACAGACAGATAGCGGAAAAGTTTTAGTAGAGGCTGGAGATTCCCCGTCGAGCGCTTTATCTACTCGGGTAGCTGGCTGACACGGCTTCTACTGGGACGGTAAAAATGTTCGTGGGCATACTTTCAACAAAAATCTTGACGAAAAAAATCATTCATTACGATTAATTCTGCGGTTGAAACTCAGCAAAAAATGTAATTCTTATCTTCTTATTTTATTTTGAAAATACACTCGGAGTTGGTCATTATTATGTAACGTGTAAAAAAAAGAAAAAGAATAGGCCTGCATCTTGCTAAAAACTTTTAAAATGATATTAAAGATGGAACTTCAAAAAAGTACATGTATCTTGGAGCTGTATCTGCTTAGATAACAGAGCGCCGTATTTCTGCACACGTATGCTCCTTACAAAAACAGAATCTGACATTATTCTGCTTTTGACTAATGGCCTGAGCGCCTGATAGCACAGAGCAGCAGGTATGTTAAATTGAGTACGAAATGTAAACTTGAATTATTGTCGGCTATGCTGATTGCACATAACACCTACCATACGTTTAATGTTTCAGTAGTGGGGCTGACCGAATATAATCGTTATCCCACCTTGGGGCTCGATTTGCATCGGATCAGAAAGGTAGAAACAGAAAGAAAAAAAATATATTTCAAGGGAGACAACCATCAAAACCCTTTTTCCGTGACACAGTCCAGGTTAGATCCCTTGACAAACGCTATTGTTTACGTGCTCATCCTTTGGGTCCATGGAATCATGCAACGTGGGTTTTTCCCAATCCAAATCATTTGGTTAACAGGCTGCTTCCACCACGGCTTGCAGGATTAAGCTGGGCTTAGCTGATTGTAATATCCCCGCAGACAGACAGAGATACTCAACGGCAAACTTCCCCAAGTGGGAATCATCTGCGTGCAACAGAGTAGAGCCTTACCTTACCCGTATTGGAATGGAAATAAAATGCTTGGAGAAATGACAATAGGGGATTTCGCATGAATTTTTCGTTTTTGATGACAC